TTTCATAATTGAAGAACATTTAAACAATACTGCTATTTAAAGCTGCTTTGAAACAATCCGTATTGTATAAATTGCTATACAAATAAATGTGACTCGACTTAGACTTGACATAGAATGAGTAGGTCTGTCTACACTTGTGACTGGTAATATACACAAGGTGGTGGGTGAAGTGAAAGGATTGAAGAGTGGACATTTAATAAATCTAGGAAAAATATACACACCTCTCATGTCAGCTTGTCCAGAGCGGCTGGAACCGGAGTTTTGTCGTGGCATACGCAAAGACGTCCGCAGTGGAGCCTGTCTCTGCTCATCTAGATACGCAAGATCCTCCAGGTGAGCTGAACTAGTGGCTGTGAAAGAGAGGGGGAATTCAGGCTAGTGTTAATATTTTAAAAAATATAGTTTAACATTTTCAATGTTAGATTAATATGGCATTTTTTATATTCTTTAAAATGACTCTTTCCCCCCCGCTTTTTTGTGTGTGCATTGAGGCTTGGGGAATATTATATTTAAAATATTCATGTCAATAAAGTACTAATTAAAGTTGAAATTGAAAGCTGAAATAAATTCTGAATTTAAATAGAAAATTGAAAAATAGAGTGAGAGAGAGAGAGATTGACAAACTCTATTTAAACTCATGCCACCCACATACATATTCAACAGAGGGAGAATACACAACAATAACAGTGAAAAACAGAAACCATTTATTATGCATTTCTTCATTTCAGCAGCCAAGCAAATGAAGTGAAGCTATTAAAAAGAAGCAAACATATTCTGGCAAACCGGTTCCAGAAGGAGCTTGTTGTTCCGAAATCAGAGAAAGTTTTCAACAGCATTAATAAGTGTGCTGTCAGTTTAACTTCACCTGAAATGAATCAACTCTCAACTTCAGCTACGAAGTAAATCTAACATAGTATTTTTGCTTAATAAACCAACTGCCGGTGTTTCCATTTATGGCTATCTTCAGAATACTGTATGAATATGTCAGAATACTGTACATTATGTCTAAGTATTATATGAAATATCAGTGTGCAGTATGCATACTGTATAATTATGAACAATTTTTATTAAACTTTTGGCAGTCGAGTCAATGAGTCAAGAAAGACACTGAAATTACACTTGATAAAACCGGAGTTTTGTCGTGGCATACGCAAAGACGTCCGCAGTGGAGCCTGTCTCTGCTCATCCAGATACGCAAGATCCTCCAGGTGAGCTGAACTAGTGGCTGTGAAAGAGAGGGGGAATTCAGGCTAGTGTTAATATTTTAAAAAATATAGTTTAACATTTTCAATATTAGATTAATATGGCATTTTTTATATTCTTTAAAATGACTCTTTTCCCCCCGCTTTTTTGTGTGTGCATTGAGGCTTGGGCAATATTATATTTAAAATATTCATGTCAATAAAGTACTAATTAAAGTTGAAATTGAAAGCTGAAATAAATTCTGAATTTAAATAGAAAATTGAAAAATAGAGTGAGAGAGAGAGAGATTGACAAACTCTATTTAAACTCATGCCACCCACATACATATTCAACAGAGGGAGAATACACAACAATAACAGTGAAAAACAGAAACCATTTATTATGCATTTCTTCATTTCAGCAGCCAAGCAAATGAAGTGAAGCTATTAAAAAGAAGCAAACATATTCTGGCAAACCGGTTCCAGAAGGAGCTTGTTGTTCCGAAATCAGAGAAAGTTTTCAACAGCATTAATAAGTGTGCTGTCAGTTTAACTTCACCTGAAATGAATCAACTCTCAACTTCAGCTACGAAGTAAATCTAACATAGTATTTTTGCTTAATAAACCAACTGCCGGTGTTTCCATTTATGGCTATCTTCAGAATACTGTATGAATATGTCAGAATACTGTACATTATGTCTAAGTATTATATGAAATATCAGTGTGCAGTATGCATACTGTATAATTATGAACAATTTTTATTAAACTTTTGGCAGTCGAGTCAATGAGTCAAGAAAGACACTGAAATTACACTTGATAACGTGTCCAGTTAATTTGTCTCATATTTACCATGGTAAAAATAATATAAGATTGTTCCTGAATATACACTATGTTCGTAAATGATTATAGAAGTAAAAACCATGTTTTTTGGCGGATTGGTTGTCTTTTGTATAACCACAGTTTTACAACATATACCATGGTTAAAATATGGTCAGTGTTGCAAAACAACCGTTAATTTGTGGTTTAACTATATCAACCACGTCTATTTAGGTTTTATTTGTAGTTAAAACCATGGTTAATTTTTGTAAGGGCACAAGTTTTTACTCAAAATGACTTGATACAACATGCTACTCCAAGCTATTTTACAAGGCATTTCCTTAGAAAACAGTGATATTATGGGTACGATCAAAAACATGGTAATACCATGGTTCTATTTGCTGTTAGTGATGAGTCAAACCCTTTGACGAACTCTATCAGAGCTTGTGTTTGCTTAGCTTGTTGTTATTCGCTTTCATGAAAATGCGTGCATGAATTTTGAGCCCCATTTTTCTTTGTTAATGAGGAGGAAAGTTCATGGCGGCTTGATACACAAGAGCATTAAGAACACAGTGGGTGGCCACTGAATTGATCTCGCCTCAAAGCAGCTGGAGAGAGCTTTTAAAAGTATTTAACAACAGCTAACATTATTGTGGCAGTGTTAGCACTGGTGTTATGGTCAAGTGGCCAGAGGTGTCAAGTAACGAAGTACAAATACTTCGTTACCTTACTTAAGTAGACATTTTGGGTATCTATACTTTACTGGAGTAATTATTTTTCAGCCAACTTTTTACTTCTACTCCTTACATTTTAACACAATTATCACTTCTATCTGAGTAATGAATGTGAATACTTTTGACACCAGTGCAAGTGGCCACCATCAAAGTAAGGTGCAAGGTGCCACATCCTAAGGAAAGCCTTTCCTTCTGTGCTAATGTGTTTAATCGAAGACAGATTTCAGAAAACCATCCATGGCCCCATGGTACATGTGTTCAAATGACAACTTACTGTTGGTTACATGTGTGGAACAACAGTTTAGTAATTTAAACCTCCCCTAAGAGAACATCACGTTTGAGCGGGAACTTTAGAGAACTGCAGCAGTGACGTCAAAACCTGGAAAACTAATTGGCCAGTGGTTCCTTTGAGATTTTCCTATTGGTTTTCATACAACTCACGAGTAAAATAAAGTCTGTGGTAGACATAACTTGACGATACTTTGACGTTTTGCTCTACAACGTGAATTACACATACCTATACTGTAAAACACTCATTTTAAAGCGGTTACGTTTATTTTATAAAACGTATGTTTCTAATACGCAACTACATAAGAACGTTGAAAAAAGCGTCAAGGTATCGTCAAGCTATGTTTACCACAGTTCTTATTTAAAAATATATATATAAAAACCCTTAGGAAAATCTAGAAGGAACCAGTGTCGAAATAGTCTTCTGGGTTTTGACGTCACAGCTGCAGCACTCTATCAATGACAAAGTTTGCAAAAGCTGGGAAAGATGTCAAAATTCGGCAGTTTTACGTTACTACTGTAAATCCATAACAAATTAAGATCGAATCTCCGTCAGTGTAAAGACCTGTTCACACCAAAGATGATCATTATAAAGTTTTAATAATCAGAATGGTAAATTCCACAACACACAGTGATAAAACGATAACGACAAAGAGGAACGCTAATGTTGGAATCACTTAGAGCAATTTTTTCTAGCTGATGAACGATAAAAACATTGACCAATCAGAATTCACCCAATTGACCAAGCAGACTACATAACCGCACCATATGCTAAAAATAAACATAACATTATTGTCTATTGGTGTGGACGCTTATATAGTTATTGTTATCTTTATAGGCATCGTTCCTTTTGTGAACAGGCCTTATGAGACTTAACCAGCACCGTTAACTGTATATTGGCAAAAACTATGGTTATCATTGTAAAATGTAAAAAATATCCCAGACACCAGCATTTCTCCTGCCCAACCCCACCACCTCCATCTGCACTGCAGACTGTCTGGCTGGCATGACTGTGTTGCTGGATTTACAGCCGCTTGAAATGCGTCACAATGACTTGGGCTCCCATCAACTGGTCCAGAAGGCACGTCTGCATTTTACACCAAATGTCTGAACATGTGCACATCTACTTATCTCTAAACTTGGTTTCTGTTTGTGTCCTTACAAAATACTATGGAAGATAAACATATAATAACGTATGCTTTACTAGGTGATCAGACTAGCAATTTCCATCTTTAAAAAAGGCTTAAAGGGGTGGTTCATTGCGATTTCACTTTTTTAACGTTAGTTAGTGTGTAATGTTGCTGTTTGAGCATAAACAATGTCTGCAAAGTTACGAATCTGAAAGTTCAATGCAAACGGAGATATCGTCTTTTAAAATTCTGGCATTTTAATGCCTACAAAAACGGCTGGTAGGGACTACAACAAGTTACTTCCCGGGTTCGTGACATCACAAACGCAGATAAACCCCGCCTCCGGGAAAAGGCAGCAAAGGGGGCGAGGCCATGCTGTCCTGCTTTAGAGAAGAAGAGAAAACTAGAGGTGCACGTAAAAATCTATTTATATATGAATCGCGATTCTGTTTTCTAACGATTTTAATGGATTCACAAGTTTCAAAATCAATGTTCTAAAGCAGCGGTTCTTAATACTGTTCCTCGCGTTCCCCTGCTCTGCACATGCTCTGCATCTCTCTCATTCAGCTCAGCTCCAATAATGAACCGTTCCAATTATACACTTATTTTCACATAGCTATGAGAAGCATTAAACATGGACACGCGTGCAGTTGCCGTACTGTATTAAAGCTTTAATCAGGATAAAACCGTATATTAAAAGCTAACATAAGCAATAGCATTTACAAATAACAGCGTATCTAATAGTATGAGACAACAACAAACAAAAAACATAGGCCTACCATTAAAAGCCGTGCTTGCACAGGTTCTGTGTGATCCTCTTCAATAATATCCTGTGCTTCTCAATCGGGCTCAAACTGATAAGCGATATTAACGACGCCTTGTGTACAATACAACCGGAGCACATGCCGCTGAGGGGCAGGATGTTTAGACACGCACTAGGCGGTTTAGCCAATCACAACACACTGGGTTAGCTAACCAATCAGAGCCCATCGCCTATTTCTGAGGGCGGGGCTTCATAAAAACAGGAAAAGATCAGCGCGTTTCTCAGAGAAGGGACAGAGCGGTAAATTATGTGAAAAATAATGCGTTTTTTTAAAAACTAAGCATTAACACATGTTAGACTGCACCCCATGAACACAATCAAGCCTAGAAAAAAAACAGTGAACCACCCCTTTAAGATGTGGTCACATTTACCTTTGTTTGGCGAATGGTCACGGACGAAATCCAGACATTTCAAAAGGAATCCACGAGATTTGGGGCGAAAGATTTCCCCACGAAACAGCCACTAATAAGGCATCTACTTATACATATCTATGTTTTTATGTACATATGTGAAGGTGAATGTGTGTATATACGACAGGAAGTGCACACAGGAGAACATGTCAAAACTCATACAACTCATACAAGTCTTTCTGTTCAAAAGAATAATCAAATGCATCTTGAACTCAGAGATCAGACAGGTTTTGAAAGGGGAAGATGGAATGAAAGAAAAAACGGAGAGACACACAGAGAGGAGGTGAAGGAATGAGTGGGTGGGATAAGGAGAGAAAGAGAAAGAAATGAAAAGTGTGAGGGAAGAGAGTGAAAGACAAGAAAAGCGTGAGAGGTGAGCATGCATGAGTAAGAAAGAAAATCAGGGGGAGAGAGAAAGCATGAAAGAGAGGTGAGGAGAGTAGGAAAAAAAGACAAATAGATCACGTCATTCACTCAGTGCTGCTGCCAGCGGCCTTCACTTCACTAACGTGCATGCTTTTTATACTTTTTTTGCATGCCACTTTGAAGTTATGTTAATTTGAAACTTTGAAAATTCTGAAAGACAGGTGAATTTATTAAAACAAACAACTTCCTAACCATATGTTCAAAGATGAATAAAAATAAATGAATTATTAATATGATACTAATAATAATGGATTGAACTAAATTGAAAAAATAAAAAGAAATTAAATAAAATTATTATTGTTTTATGTAAAGTTCTTATTATTATTATTATTGCTGTTGTTGTTACGGTAATTATAAAGAATGATAAGCATTAAGCAATATAGTTTGTTAACCTAACTGTATAGGCTGAATAAATAAACAAGTGAGGGTCACATTAATTAAATAAAGCTTGCTTTGTTCAATCAGACTTTAGAGGTAGAAATATTCATTTAATAAACATTTACTTTATATTGTAAATTCCTTATAACAAACCTTCAAAAATCCAAAGCTGACAGTAAAAAAAATAAATCTACAGTACTTAAAACTGAGCGACTGAGTTTGATACTATTTTCTCACATGTGGATCCAAAACCAGCAGCACAAATCACAAATCCTTCACAAAACCTGGAGGAGATTCACGCAGACGTCCTTGCTTTGTTGTAACGGGGCAGCATCAGGAGCTAGGAGCCGCTCCAGAGTTTAAATGGCCCATAAAGCTGAGAAGAGGGCCACTTCTATAGCTCTCACAGTAATCGCTATGTGCTTTTACTGACCTTGACATTTTAAGGGAATTGGAAACACGTGTCTGTTGACTTTTAGGGTCTGGATTATGTGGGATATTTCCTGTCTCCGCAGTTCACCATTTATGAACAGAAGTGTTCAAAGAGCCTCAGCTGAATGAGTTTCACACAGAGCTGACTCCAAATATTCACACGCGGTGAAAGATGAATGTGACTGTTTGTAGCGAACAGGATTTGAATGTCTTGACTAGCTCAGCATAATATGCAGGTTTCTGCCATTTTACAGTTAATCTAGGGTTAAATTACAACTGAAATGAAATGACTGATTTATTGAAATGACTCAAAGGAAGCAAAGCAATGTAGGTTGTGGCACATATATTCTATTATTGCTGCTCTCCCTGCTCATTCATGACAGGCTGCTTGGATGGGCAGGGAGTTTCTTGCCCAGAACAGAACCATACCACCAAACCAAACTTTATGCTAAGTATCTATCATTTTGACGATAGTGGTCCTGACAGACCTATATTTAGTATATGTAATATAGTAGACAAACTGTAGGCTAAACAAATTATTGTCACGTCAATTTTTTATTGGTTAGATGCTTCTATTATTCATTGGCTTTGTACTGTACTCTGCACAGTGGCAAAGTTGAATCTAATCTATTCTAACAAGATATGTTTCGACTGGCACACTACCTATACTACTAGTACTATTTCGGCAGTATGCGCATATACAGTGGTGTGAAAAAGTGTTGGCCCCCCTTCCTGTTTTTAAAATTTTATGCATATTTGTCACACTTAAAAGATTCAGATCATCAAACAACTTTTAATATTACACAAAGATAATGCAAGTAAATACAAAATGCAGTTTTTAAATGATTATTTATTTTATTAAGGGAAAAAAGCTGTCCAAACCTGCCTGGCCCTACGTGAAAAAGTAATTGCCCCCTAAATCTAATAACTGGTTGTGCCACGCTTTGCAGCAACAACTGCAATCAAGTGTTTGCGATAACTGGCAATGAGTCTTTCACATCGCTGTGGAGGAATTTTGGCCCACTCTTCTTTGCAGAATTGTTTTAATTCAGCCACATTGGAGGGTTTTCGAGCATGAATGGACTGTTTAAGCATCTCAATCGGATTTAAGTCCGGACTTTGATTTGGCCACTCCAAAACCTTAATTTAGTTTTTCTTGAGCCATGCAGAGGTGGACTTGCTGGTGTGTTTGGGATCATTGTCCAGCTGCATAACCCAAGTGCGGCATGCAATTTTTTTACTATAATTGCCAAAATTTGACAGACACACTGGATAACACAGTTTGCAATGATACAAATGAACTGGACACATTATAAAGTGTAATTTCAGTGTCTTTCTTGACTCATTGACTCGACTGCCAAAAGTTGAATAAAAATTGTTAATAATTATACAGTATGCATACTGCACACTGATATTTCATATAATACTTAGACATACTGTACAGTATTCTGACATATTCATACAGTATTCTGAAGATAGCCATAAATGGAAACACGGACAGGTGTGGAAACTTACCGGCCACAGAGTTGGGGCGAGGCATGAGGTAGAGGGGGATGGAGTGGGCGGAGTGAGAGACAGAATGCTCCAGACTCCTCTCTGGGATTTTGTTGAGGCTGTATGTGGAGGCGGCCATGTTTTCATCCACCCGATAAAGAAAGGAGTCTGCACCCATCGACTTCTGCGCCTGCCAGAGTTTGAGGCTGCCCCGTGAGCCCTCGCTGTGTTTTCCTCCGTGCTCTGCATTCTCTGAGTAACTTGTGAGCGTTGCTGCAAGAAAGCAATGGGAGATTTGAAACGGGGACATTTTTGTATATGTACATCAATGATTAGCATTTATTTCTGTTACTAAAACAAGCCACAGAAAGTCTCTGACCTATAATGCCACTGTCTCGGCTCTCCAAGGTGGAGGTGGGACTCGTGATGGATCCGTAAGCACAGTCTCTGGTGCCCATGTTACCCGGGGCTCCAGCGGGTAACGTGGAGCAGGGGCTGCCAGGAGGGGGCGATGCTGTGCTGCTAGCTAAACTGGAGCATGGGCTGATCCTCTGGGTCATGGAGACGCCCTGAACATCAGAAGTTTTCATCAAATTATAAATTTGTAGTCAGAACTGAATGACCTCATAGGTATATGTGCAAAGATCAATAAATAAACCATTATTATTATTATTATTAGCAACTTCGATTATTTATTTATTTGGTTTTTATTATTCATTTAATAATAATAATAATAATAATGATTACTATTATTATTATATGATTTTTATTATTCATTTTTATTATTTGTATTATTTGTTATGATGAATTATATATAAGGGAATATAATAAATTATAACATGGCAAATAATAATAATAATGATGATAATAATGATGATGATAATAATAATAATAATTATTCTTTTTATAATCAATTATAATAAATGTTTCTTCAAACATAGGTATGAAGTAGTTCCAATTATTATTATTATTTATATGTTTTTATGACATTTTATGTTTCATGAAGGAGGCCTAATGTTCACTCATTGTTACACTGCAGAACTGTAGCATACTGAAGGATTTGTTGCTAGATCAGTATATGAGTATACTCACATATATGAGGATCCTATTTCAGAAAAGCAGCACCGTTCAATGACTTTCACACACAAAAATGCCCACAGAAGTGTAAATCTGCAGACTGGTATTTAATGATACAGTGCTGTCCCATATTTCTGCTGAGGACTGCACACTCATGTGGAATTATCTCTTTTTATGGCCTGGGCTGACTTAAACAATTTTTCCATTGTGACTCAATATTATGTAATTTAATACAACGTTATTGGCTTTATGGTATGTGACTGAGAGAACTTAGAATTTTCAACTCTTAACCAAATGGAAAGAAATGAGAAAATGAGAGAAATGAGTGTATTATTATGGCATGCTGCGGTCAGCGACAAGACATGAGCTACAAAAACCCACCAAGATAGTGGATCATTTTACCCAATGGGAAGAGAGAGTGAGAAAGACAGTGAGAAACATAAACAGACAAAAAGTATGATAATGAAAGAGTTGCAGCAAACAAGTAAAGAGGGAGTAGAAAAGAGACATGGAAAGAATAGGTGGTCAAGCGAGTTCATGTCTGACTCTGGGTCTGCGGTGGAGGCCACATTAATGACTTCATACAGACGGATATGAATTTCAGTCAGTCACTGGCACTTCTGTCCAGAAGTTGTTTTAGATGATACGTTTCTCACAGCCAAAATAGAACAAACTGCATGCCAAGAGGATGTTCTTTCATAAAAACAACAATTTAAGGATACATTTGCAGATCACAGCAAAGTTCTGATTTCAAAACTAGGGTTTGATCCAGGTTTAACACCAAGAACACTGAAAAAAATAAAACTGGTGTCAAAACAATTTTTACAATCAGTTACAGTACAAAGAAACGACAGTGAAATGTCGAAGACAGTGAAGTAGAAAGACTGAAACAGTATGTTCTTGTCAAACATACTCCAATAATCACTTTTTTTTTCTTTTACTGTGAAATTAACCTTGTTTTTCTTTAAATGTGCACTCAGAAATCTTCATTTCTTTATGTATAAAGCTGTTTTGATGATTTGTAAAACCACTGTAAAACCACCTACATTGGAACATTGACTACGACCGACTGAAAACCCATGAAAAATAATAATGCTTCACATTTCTTTTCACCATGAACCAGCAGTCGCTCTAAGTTAGATCTCAGACTCAATAACTTCCCAAATATGTCTAAATAGCTCTACACCTTTTTGTCCAATTCAGGGCTCAGTGTGCGTGGGAGAGACTGGCTCTGAATCTGTGTTTCAGAAATTGCGGCCTTTCAGTGACCACGCTTGCTTGGCAGGGTCCAGCCTCTAAAATAACTCATTGGAGATCTCGAGCAGCTCCGCCCAGCTGTGGACGGCAGGAGCCTTGCCTTGCGCGATACATTCCTGGACTCAACTATGTGTCGGATCAATGAGGTCGAGCTGAACTCAGAACAATTAGGAGGGAATGAAACACTTCTGATTTTAACCAGTGGAATGTTAGACAGAATCCAACAAGTGCTACATTCAAGAGCTCAAAATGTCATTTTAAAAACCAGTGAGGCTGTTTCCATTCTTAGTCACTGTTAGGATGTGTTAGGAGCTTTTCACTTCCAGAATAAAAAAATCCTGATAATTTACTCGCCCCATGTCATCCAAGATGTTCATGTTATTCTGTCTTCCGTCGAAAAGAAATGAAGATTTTTGAGGAAAACGATGGACTTCAATGGGGATCAACGGGTTGAAGGTACAAACTGCAGTTTCAATGCAGCTTCAAAGGGCTCTACACAATCCCAGCCGAGGAATAAGGGTCTTATCTAGTCATCTTAAAAAAGAAAAATGTATTAACTTTTTAACCACAAATGCTCATCTTGCACTAGCTCTGCGATGCGCGTCTTCATGCATTACGTATTCATGCTGAAAAATTCACGCACGTTTAGTTTTTTGTCTGTACTTTAGTTCAAAAAAGGCAGGGTAGGGCGAAAAACTTCATCTAATTTTCTTCTCCAACTTCAAAATCCAACATCATTGTTTTACCTTTCTTTATTTGTAAAGGGCATTTGACTTTCTTTGCACGGTCGCATTGTAAACACCGCTGACGTCACATATGACCTTTCCAACGTGATTATGTAACGTGTGAGGTCGAGCTAGTGCAAGACATGCATTTGTGGTTAAAAAGTATGTAAATTTTTATTTTTTTTAGAAAACGACCAATCATTTTGCTAGATAAGATTTTTTTTCCTAGACTGGGATCCTGTATAACCCTTTGAAGCTGCATTGAAACTGCAGTTTGTACCTTCAACCCACTGATCCCCATTGAAGTCCACTATATGAAGAAAAATCCTGGAATGTTTTCCTCAAAAACCTTAATTTCTTTTTGACTGAAGAAAGAAAGACATGAACATCTTGGATGACATGGGAGTGAGTAAATTATCAGGAAGTTTTACACGGAAAAGTGTTTATATATAAACCCCCCAAACATTCAAATTCCCGTAGGTGGGAATTATTTTGATGATATTCTAATGGACCGCTTTGTGACATCACAAAACCCGGAAAACAAACGCTGTAGTCCAAACGAGTCGTTCGTTGTAGTTCTTGAAAAGGGATTTTTTAAATACGAAATATCTCCCTTTAGAGTGGACTTTGAGATTTGTAAGCTTGAAGATCTTTTTTTATGCCCAAACAAACACACTACACACTGACTAAAATTCAAAAAGTGAAAAAGCATAATAGGACCCCTTTAATGTATTGACGAATTAAATAAATTAGATTAAATAATCAGTATAATCAAGCAATTCATTCTATTACAAATATAATAAAATTTTTACAGCGCTAGATTTAATTTCATCTGACATCTTTATTATAATATTGCTGTACTGTATTTTGAATTGAGCACATGTTGGATTACATTTTTCCGACTTGAAAGGTTTCTAAGCACTCAAACCCAAAAGCAGATGTTCACTGGAGGATCATGGCTAAGATCAATGTGGACTGTAAACAGACTAGCGGCAGGGGTTTCAGCATCTGCTGTCTGAGACATGCCTAGTTAGATTCGAACTGCACGGATACACCAGCGCAAACTGCTGCTGTTCATCCAAAACCCAAGAACATCTGTCATGATTTAGAGAGCAAGAATATCTGTGTTTCTGAGGCAGGGAGCCACCCACTAACAAAACCCTGGGCTGCTGAGCAGCACCTCCCACCATCACTAGGCCAAAAACTCACTTTAATTATTTTGAAAAGAATAATGAGAGAGACTGGATAGAGCGAGGGCGGCTGAGAGCACTGAATGTGTGTATCAAACCTGAGGGTCATCTTGTTCCTCCATGCTGTACTGTGCTCCACCAGGCCCTTCGTTCACTTTGTCCCCGAGCAGGAACCCCAGTCGCGTCATCAGTGTGTTGGCGGCCTCGTCTACAGACGGAGGAGGACCCAGATCCTGGCTTTCTTCCCCTGTGAGAGAATAAAAGAGAACAAGAGAGGTAAAGCCTCTTTATAAAGTATATGTTTATAAAGTATAACCCACCTGATGTTGTGTGCTGCAAAAAATGTGCTCCAAACAATGCTGTTGTTGCTTAACACGCATTTGTAAGACAGCAGGAAGAGGAATATGATAAAACACAATGATAATCACACCAAAAAAAAACAAAAAAAAAAACGTAGTCAATAAGTTTACAATAAGCTGTAAAATGATAATAAAAATAATATATTGATATATAATAAAGCTGTAAAGTTTATAATACTGATCTCTCTATATAAATAATATTAATTAATAAAATAATAATCTGCTAGAATTTCCCTACAGTTAATTATGCCCAGCAGCACTGGTTCCTCAACCAAGGCTGCATTTATTAGATTAAAAATGACTGTAAATACAGTAATATTGGAAATATTATTACAATTTAAACTAACCATTTTATATACATATTCAATGCAATTTATTCCTCTGATGGCAAAGTTGAATTTTCAGCATCATTACTCCAGTCTTCAGTGTCACATGATCCTTTAGAAATGATTCTAATATGCTGATTTTCTGCTCAAGAAACATCTCTGATTATTATAAATGTTGAATGTAAAAATGAGAGTTAAGACATTCAGAATGTTACAAAACATTATGAATGGATTTATACATCTAACTTATTTCACTTAGCTGAAATTAGAATAATTAGGTGTAATAATCACATATTCTGTATTTGCTAAACCATTCATGGACAGTCATTTTGGACGGATTTTTACAAAATGTAAAACTGAGTGATTTTGGCATTCGGAGAAACTGCTTTCTTTGGCTTCTATGACAACATAGGGATTTTTATGATCCTTGCAATTCTACATTGTCGAATGCATAAAAGTACAACTTGGCCGTCGCTACCACATCCAGACTTTATGTGGTGTCTTTCAAATTTCAGCCTCAAACAGCTCCATTGGAATGAAATTTGGCCATTTCAGCCTTTCAGTTCTGCTCACTGTCAAACATCCCCATCATACATCCTTAAAAACCAAGTGACACAGCAGATAAGGACAGGTAAACCAGCCACACTTTCTGTTGTGAGACCAGCCCAAGACCCCAAAAGCCCTAAACTGTAAAACACTAAACCACCTCACAATCCCTATCAATAGGATGTCTGCATGTCTAGTGTTTCACAGATGAAGCGTCTGAGCCTGTGCGCTCATATACACAGTCAAAGGCTGATCGCGAGACTTCAAAAGAAGAGGTGTCCCATGGTAGCTAAATCCACAGTGAGAAGAGCTTTTTTCAGGATTCGTTTTTTTCCTCCATACCTTTCACCTCTCACCATCAGAACAGAGCCGAAGAGAACCGACTGCAAAACAAACTGAGCCTTTCCCAGAAATACGGGGCGAGTTGCTACACCTCTAAGGCACAGATTCATCTTACTGTCAAACCTGTCCTCAGAGACTGGAAATCTCTCTCAGATAAACCAAAGCCTCAGGCAGCAGCGGCTCTGAACAGCAGCTACAGTTAGCTTTTATAAGTTGCCCTGAAAAGTAACTGTCTGAAAGAAAAAAAAAATCTTGGTATAACACATCTAATGAGTTCTGAACAAGAAGGATCAACACAATAGATGCTTCAGCTAAATATGCTAATTCAGTCAAAGCATGTCAATGGCTGTCTACGTCTCAAAACCTTAAATTAGCTTAAAGGAGGATTTCTGGGCATCATATGAGCATTTTAATATGCACATTTGGGCATATACACAGGCTATTTTACAAATACAAACAGATAATGAAATGCTACAGCTAATTATGCTAACTAGTTCGGCAAACCATCATCTATGGCTGTGCCTTAAAACCTCAAAAGCTGACAAATCGGGCAGTTTTAAACATTTCACCTACAATGCCCAAAAATACACTATTACTTAACTTACTATAAGAGTTACTATTGTTAACAAAAACCAAAACTAAAACAATTTTGTGAATTGAAATAAAGCTGAAATAAATTCAAATATAAATAGACAAAACATTTTTACATTACAGTAAACTAAATTGTAAATGTTGCCTTGGCAAGAAATTGAAATAAGTTGAAGCACTAACATTACTAAGGGAAATACAACAAATACTAAAACTGAACTATGACTGAAAAAAAAACAACCTAAATAGCAATAATGAAAAATACAATAAAATAAGAAATACAAAAATAATAAATAAAAAGAAAATAAAAATGAAAAAACATTAAATTACTAAAAAATTAAATAAAAATAAATAATAATAAAAAAATAAAGGCTCCAAAAGGGTGTTTTTACAGTGATGGCATAGAAGAACCATTTTTGGTTCCCCAAAGAACCTTTTAGTGAACAGTTCTTAAATGAACCATTTTGAAGAATACTTAAAAAATCTAAAGAACTATAAATAATCTTTTCTGCATTTGAATGGTTCCATGGATGTTCAAGGTTCTTCATGGAACCATTGATGCCAATAAAGAACCTTTATTTTTAAGAGTGTATACAATTCTAATTCAAATAGTGCATTCAAAATATTAATAAAGAGTTTCATTTGCTTTCTTTCAAAATTATGCTATATAATTCTATATTTAGGTGCTGTATGTATAGAGCTTACAGTCAACTAAAGTAAAGCTAATGACACTAATGCAAATGTATTATTTGTTAGATATAAGTAGGAAAAAAATCATACAGGTTTTGTAAAAGTGAAGCATTCAAAACAAGCGCTTGCCACATTATTCGTTTAGTTTTTTTTGCCAAGTTGTGCATTTTACTTCTGCACATGTCGTTGTCTATGCAGCCACTATTTAAAGCTGTGCAAAGAACAATACTTTTTCCAGACAATATAACCAAGCCTACAAATGGGTTTCCTGTTTTGAATTTTGTTTCTCTGAATAGACATGTGGGAATTCGTTTGGTTGAACATGAATATGCATACTGGCAATCTCTCTTTTTTTATTTGATTTTTTTTGCAGTCGCAACACAAAAATGTTGTCATGGCAACTATGGATTTTGTAAAGATTGTGCTGAAGCTCTCTCAGATAAACCAAAGCCTCAGGCAGCAGCGGCTCTGAACAGCAGCTACAGTTAGCTTTTATAAGTTGCCCTGAAAAGTAACTGTCTGAAAGAAAAAAAAAATCTTGGTATAACACATCTAATGAGTTCTGAACAAGAAGGATCAACACAATAGATGCTACAGCTAAATATGCTAATTCAGTCAAAGCATGTCAATGGCTGTCTACGTCTCAAAACCTTAATTTAGCTTAAAGGAGGATTTCTGGGCATCATAGGAGCATTTTAATATGCACATTTGGGCATATACACAGGCTATTTTACAAATACAAACAGATAATGAAATGCTACAGCTAATTATGCTAACTACTTCGGCAACCATCTATGGCTGTGCCTTAAAACCTCAAAAGCTGACAAATCGGGCAGTTTTAAACATTTCACCTACAATGCCCAAAAATACACTATTACTTAACTTACTATAAGAGTTACTATTGTTAACAAAAACCAAAACTAAAACAATTTTGTGAATTGAAATAAAGCTGAAATAAATTCAAATATAAATAGACAAAACATTTTTACATTACAGTAAACTAAATTGTAAATGTTGCCTTGGCAAGAAATTGAAATAAGTTGAAGCACATAATAAATAAAAAGAAAATAAAAATGAAAAAACATTAAATTACTAAAAAATTAAATAAAAATAAATAATAATAAAAAAATAAAGGCTCCAAAAGGGTGTTTTTACAGTGATGGCATAGAAGAACCATTTTTGGTTCCCCAAAGAACCTTTTAGTGAACAGTTCTTAAATGAACCATTTTGAAGAATACTTAAAAAATCTAAAGAACTATAAATAATCTTTTCTGCATTTGAATGGTTCCATGGATGTTCAAGGTTCTTCATGGAACCATTGATGCCAATAAAGAACCTTTATTTTTAAGAGTGTATACAATTCTAATTCAAATAGTGCATTCAAAATATTAATAAAGAGTTTCATTTGCTTTCTTTCAAAATTATGCTATATAATTCTATATTTAGGTGCTGTATGTATAGAGCTTACAGTCAACTAAAGTAAAGCTAATGACACTAATGCAAATGTATTATTTGTTAGATATAAGTAGGAAAAAAATCATACAGGTTTTGTAAAAGTGAAGCATTCAAAACAAGCGCTTGCCACATTATTCGTTTAGTTTTTTTTGCCAAGTTGTGCATTTTGCTTCTGCACATGTCGTTGTCTATGCAGCCACTATTTAAAGCTGTGCAAAGAACAATACTTTTTCCAGACAATATAACCAAGCCTACAAATGGGTTTCCTGTTTTGAATTTTGTTTCTCTGAATAGACATGTGGGAATTCGTTTGGTTGAACATGAATATGCATACTGGCAATCTCTCTTTTTTTATTTGATTTTTTTTGCAGTCGCAACACAAAAATGTTGTCATGGCAACTATGGATTTTGTAAAGATTGTGCTGAAGCATCTGTGTCCTTCATCCATCCTCCTACCGAACATTCTTCCTAAATTTTTCCTTCATCACTCCCTGGTTTCCCTGTACCTCCGGCGGGATGTATGTCACTTGTGACAGCGTATAATAAAGTTCAGAAACCTGCTAATGACACCAGCAGGAGCTGAAACAGCACAATGGAGAAAGAACTGTTCATTGCAAGCAGAAAGTCGGCAAGGTTTGTTTTTCCTGCGCTCTCTTTTTTTATTCTTTTGTCCCACAATGTCATCCGTTTCAGAAAATGCTGTGCCTCTTCAAAAGTTCTCTGGCCCACATACGGTAAAAAAAGAAGGAAAAAAGAAAAAAAAATACGACCGTTCTGAACTGATGATTCACAAACATGCCAGCAATGGTGGTTTGAAGGCAAGCCTGAGGATGCAAGCAAAAGAAAATATTCAAAAACATCCACATATTTGTGGACCACACACGTATCTTAAGGCACAAGCATAAACAATCATATACGCATACTCATGCATGACAATCTCG